ATCACCACATCTCGTGCTCCACTGATGACGCTCCCTGACGCGCACACAACATTCGATTGTACTATTTTTGCATTCAAATGCAAATGTTTATTTTAAATTCGACTAATATACATTTTTTTTTATTCACAATCTCCTCATCACAGACAGGCACAGCACTCATGTTCGTGTTTGTGTGTGCTGTCTGCGTCACTCGTAGTACGGGCCTATATTGAACATTTTTTATATCGTTATCGAAGAAGGTGCACCGTCAATAAATATCGATATCGTTTTATCGCCCAGGCCTACTCGGAGCTTTTGGTCCTCAGACTCAGAATTATGCATTTCTTATGGCAACACTAATAACACTAAAATGAATGTGTGTAATTTGAGTAAATCAATAGACAAAACCACAACTGAACAAGTAAATTATTAATAAATGTTTAAAGTTTATTTAGCTTTTTAGCAGGATATCCCACTCTGTGCTAGCCAGTTTTTCATTAATATTTGGAATTTTTTCAAAAGTTTTTTTGAGATTTGTATACTTTTTAAATTATGTCTACATATTTTTTAATTCAATTTATTTCAGTTTTTAGTTATTTTAATACATAAAGTTAAAACTAAATACAAATGAGAAATGTTGCCTTGCAACTACTTGAAATAAAGTACTTTTTTTAATTATTAAAAAAAAAAAAAAAAAAAAAATTTTTTTTTTGGTTGTACTTTTAGGTTTAGTTTTAGTTAAGTATGCTAACCCTATAGTGCTAGCTACAGTAAACTATTGCATGTCTTTTGTTCATTTTCAGATTAATCTTGCATTATAACAATAGCCATTTTCAGAATAATTAATCAGAAATATTACAATATAGTACTATTTCACATTAAAAACCTCTTTATATTAAGATCTACTATATTTTACTGCCAAAGCCACTGCCATATTGAGTGTTTCCACATGACGCTGCAGCCGTCGTAGCTCTCTGAAAATTCAGTTAGCACGTTGTAATTACGAGTTGTACGAGGACACGAAGACTTTTACAAGTCGTAATCTCGTAATTGAGATTACTGAGAGAGATCACGGATAATAAAGGAATGTTCCACATTCAATACCAGTTAAGTGATAATGTCACAAATGCTGACAATAACCACAATGGAAAAAACTGGGCCAACTCTCTGAAGAGTTTAAAAGCAATTGCAGTGTTACAGTGCAGTAAAAATATGATTTGAGCTGCCGAACACATGTGTTTACGGGCTTCAGCGAGAAGTTTGAACTGCGCAGGGTGGAGTGTTTTGCTACAAGACTCTCTTTTCAGGAACAGTCATAACAGTGTGCGCCGGGCAAACAGACAGGAGCTCAGAGGACCTGTTTGAGGCCTGAGGGACTTTCTATGGCGCTCTGCACCGCCTCGAGAGAGAGTCAAAGCAGACGTGTGCCAATAACAGGCTAGCGCTGCTGAGAGGAGGGGGCAGGCCCAGTTCAGCAGGTTCCTCGACAGGAACACAGGTCCAGACTCGTGACTTTGGGCCCTACTGCCACAGCTGATCTGATTACAGACCTCTAAACTGGAAAAAAATGGTGTGCCAACTAGGGCTGCGCAATTAATCGAATTTCTAATCGCGATTACAATTATGGATGCCACAGTTACGTAATCGTTCAAAGCGGCAATTAATCGTTCAAAGTCCACTTATGTTATTCGGCGTGCTTAAGATGCGTTTTTTCTTTCTACATGTTATCTTAAGGGTTTTTCCATTGTTTTAGTTTTAGTATAACATTATAATACCATTAATATTTTTACTTTTTTATAATTTAAAGAAGAAACCAATCCAATATATAGTTGACATTTGAGGCTTAATACTATAAAAAAAGCACTAAAGGTTTTTCAGTTAGAGTGTTTAGCGCTTGTTTATTTTCATATAAAAATACGGCATGCAGTTGCATCAAACAATGGTATAAACATCATTCAATGTAAATTGTGATAATCATAATTAATAATCGCAATTACAATTTCAAGGGAATAATAGACAATTATGATTTTTGTCACAATCGTGCAGCCCTAGTGCCAACACTATTACTGCCAAAATGAATGTGTGTAATTTGGGTAATAAATAGACATATATAGAGTCATTATGTAAATGCCTTATTAAAAAACCTTTAACGTTTATGTAGCTTTAGCGTTATTCGAACTACATTAAACTGTACTGCAAGTTAATTTATAGATTAATTTTGCATTATTAAAACATTGACATTAGTCATTTATTTGAATTATTAAACAGAAATAATACGAAGCACTACTTAACTGCATTTTACATCAAGAACTGTTCTAATGAATATTCTTCTTAATGAAAATTCGGATAAACAAGACTTCATTATCACTGGCATTCATCAAATAACTACTAACCTAACTTACCAGAAGCAAACATTTAGTAATTCTCAGGAAACTGTATTTTGCAGTATTTTTATTTTAAATGTATATTTTATTGGCTTAAATGTAAAATATTCCACATATTCCACCTTCTGAAGGAAAATAAATCATTACAAAAAGAAAAAATAACAGTCTACTCAAGATAAAAAAAAAGTGTATATTATTTAATTATTTCATGTGGAGAACAAAACGGAAGTGACTTATGAGAATGTACATCTCAGGAAACGGGTCCCGTGTGTTTATAAATGTCCTCATTGTGTTGACTGCATCTGTATCACACACACTCACACACACACACGCTTCTGATCCAATCAGATCCTGCTCTTGTCTTTGCTCCGCCCCTTTGCCCATATATGGTCCCCGGCTGCATGATGTAATGGCTGCTCTCAAAATAAAAACAAACACAGATAGACTTCCTGTCTCTGCCTTTCTCAAACACACTCCCCTCACATACAGCCAGATTAAAAGCGGGAGAGAAAAAAGAAACACACACACACACACACACACACAGATCCAGGCACGCACATGTTGTGGGTGGAGGCTGACGTTAAGCTTTTATAAACGCAGCATGACTGCAAGAATCATATCACGGCTTGTCCACGGGGACTGGTTTTGTGAGAAGAAAAACTGATTGCAGCAAACGGCACGGCTCATGTTTCAGCCATCTGATGAGGTTCAAAAACAGCTGCGTGTGTGTGTACAGGCCCAAAAATCCCTTCATCAAGCCCCAGACCACACGATTGAGTCAGATCTGCTCCTATCGCTGAGGGAATTGACCAGCACGTCTTCAAATCGCTGATATATAAGGCTACATATCCAGGGAGAAAGAATATGGACACATGAGCGGGAGTCAAGGCTGGAAGGTTTTCAGATTGTAGAAGATGCTCTGATACTCGTTTAACGGCTCTGCTTCTTTAAAGGGGTCATATGATGCTATTTTAAATATCATTATTTTGTGTTTAGAACGAGGCGTTTTAGGTAGGTGTGGTTAACTCTTAACTTTTATAAAGAATATCTCTTTGGATTTGAGACTTTAGTCTTTGCAACTTTACAGATCTTCTTTATGCACCAAGAGCTTGTAACACTCCAAAGAGAAAGGAAAAATTTAAATCGCATCATATGACCCCTTTAATGCGGTTGACTAGTCCACAGACTCGTCTAGTCTTCCCTGATATTTTTTCAGACTGCTTAAAAGGGGATGAAACTGTCAGCATGTTAAAACTCTGACGTTTTTAAATTCAGCCCCTCTAAAGGTGGGTTAAACGCTGAAGTCATCTAAATTCTGCGTCACATCTAGCCCTTTTTTCAGCGCCTGGCATCATAAGTGTTCATAAAGACAGCATGGCAGCAGTTAAAAATAGTTAAAAGCATCTCTTTGTGCTCCTTCTAGCTGTTTTTAAACACAAGAAAGAAGTGGAGCCTCATAAATGACCGATTTAAAACACCCTACATAGGCAGCAACTTCACAAGACACACAAGTAGTGCTATTGTATGACGTACATGTGACTCAATTGTTTTTGTTTCAATATTTTGATGTTAGCATGTTGCTAAAGTTAATATCATGATATTTTAATAAAAAGAGCACTTAAACATTTCAAATCATTTTTTGTATTGTAAGAATTACAATGATAATCAACTTTCTTAGTTGGCCTTGTTTTTAGTAATAAGCTTGTCAGTTTTAATTGATATTTACTTAAATTTAAGTCGATTTTTTTTTTAGTTTTAGCTTTTATTTATTGAAAATAAATTTCTCAAAATACGTTTCACTTATTTTTATTTCAGTTTTATTTCAGTTAGTCATTTTAGTACTTAAACTTATTTCATGATTTTGGTTTAAGTCTCAACTTTATTGAATTGAACTATTTATTTTTTTAATAAACAATTTTTTTTTTAATGTTTCAGTTAACAAAAACAACAGCATTAGTTGCAATGCATTCTGGGATTGCCTTATCCTGAAAGAACATATGCAATGCTTAGAATTTGGCTAAATGACTTGTTCAGAAGGCAATATAATTTTCTCCCTACTGCATCTGCTTTAGATGCCTCCAAATTCTGCCTATAAGTAGACACCAAATACACAAAATAATGTTCTTTTTTAGCAACGTCATATGACCCCTTTAAAACCGAACCATCATAGAAAATAGTATTTATTCATAAAAAAAAAAGAAAGAAGGATCCTGTACAGACACATTCTAACCTTCACAATATAAAACCTCCTCCCTAGTAGTTGACTAAGACCATTTACTGAAATTGTGTTGCACACACAACTCATCCAAAATTTGCCCTGGATATGACGTCAAATTTCATCTGAGAGTCGGACAGATGCTGGAAACTGGGCATGAAAAACAATTCGGACGGTGTCTAACAAGCCCTGACTAGCATGATAAGTGTATTTCAGGCCCTTTATTAATATCTGTGGCCTTCAGGAAGTCCAGCCCCACATTATTCTCTGAGATGCTATGTTGAGAACGGGCCGTCTGATGACAATGACGGGATGTTGAACACGGCTGCTCTTTTTGCCTCTTTCTCCATATTAAATGCACTTACCATCTGGTGATGACTGGGGATGTTGGCCTCTTGGAAGAAGGAGCTCAGAGCCGTCTGCGGAAAGAGAGAGAGAGAGAGAGATGGGGATGAGCTGGAGGGATCTGTGTTACAACATGAATGAGCAGAATAACTCTGGCTCTCTGCTCCCTCCTCCCTGACTGTGACAGACACGGGTCAGTCGGTCCAAGCACTAAATGTGGGTTTCTAAACCGTCACGCAATCTGTGCAGGATTCTAGGAACTAATACACTATGCGGGCTCAGAGATACAGAAATATGTGAGAGTGGAAAATACACATAAACAAACACGTAGGCAAGACCAGTTTTCCTTTCTAAGACAAGCATCTCTATTACTACTGCTTATACTTTTGTGCTACTGACATCAGTGACGCCTGAAATCATGCAGCTTTTGAGGAGATCCGAGTCTAGTGGGTGATAAATGGAGCAAAAATACCCATAGATTTTCAGTGAAGGAGGGACACGGGACATTTCTTGAGCAAGCAGCTACTTGGCAACCACCCAAAACACCTTAGCAACCACATAGCAATATACTAAACACATTGCTTTATTTTGCACAGCCCTTATGACTCTAAAAATTATATTTAATCAATTAATAACATATTTCCCTTGTACCTTGAATACATGTGAGTGTATACATCATCGTTATTTCCAATAAGTAATATATGTCTCAAGATAAAAAGTATTTTAACAAATATAATGACTTAATTGATAAATATCATCACATTTTTGGGGGAGTCGCACCACATGACATTTTACCCGAACTAACCTTGATTTAATCATCTGATATTCTATAACACTTACAGACCTTGATTCTGCCATAATTTCCTGTTTTATTAATTTTTTTTTTTCTTTTGCAAGTTTGTGTCTGCTGGTCGTTCCCCATTTGATTTGGAAGACAAAATGTTTTCACATTTTTATTTATATATTTCTTTAAAAATAATTTAACAAAAGCTTCAGTGTTTGATAATAAGTACGGGTGGTTTTCTTTTCAAGATTTTTTTTAGATATCATTTTGAAGCTTCTTCCTTTATTATGATATCAGGGCAGTTGTAATTATAACATTATGACATTTTTTTTACTTCTATTTAAAAATGAAAAACCTGTTCAGAGAAAAGGTGTATTCAAATAATTGTAAACAGCATGCAAACAAATGGAGCCTTATCAGACTATGACGACATGTTTTCAGTTATTAATGTTAAATTTACAAAGTTTTTTGTTTTTACATTTTTTTTTTTAAATTCATGTATATTTATAACTCAGCACTTTGCATTAGGGCTGTCAAAAAAAATTCGAATTTCGAATATTCGTCGAATTTTAGGTGTGCGTTAAGGAGGCAGCCTTATCAGTGGCGCACGAGATGCGATGACGATGTAAGTGTCGTTGCATTTGAATGTTTTTGTTAGCCTATCCAGTTGAAGCCACTAGATGTGGCGCTGCTGCGTTGTTCGTTAAAAATATTGCGGGAAAAGAGAACATCAATGCGGAGAAGATCATGTTTACGTCAAAACTGAAACCAAGCCATTCACACAGAACGCATATTTCGCGCATTTTCTAGAGGGACATCTAGAACATCACCGTTGCACTCGCGTCTCGCACAAAAGAGCCGCATGTTTAGAAAGCCATGTAAAATTAATGCAAGTTTAACTTTGAAAAAACATATATCGAGACTTTATGGCTGGGTTTTTCCCAATCCCACTGCAACCCGTGTTTTTAAACGAAAAATGTACTCTGTGTGATTGGCTTTCGGTCCTTTGTATTAAACTATGCATACATACATGATGCTGTTTTGTTTATAGTGGTTATAGTTCATATATGTTGTAGTTTCACAGATAGTCACGCTATATTATGCTTTGAATAAACGTGCATTAGTAATATTTTGCTCGATGCGCCCTCTTGTGGCCTCAGAAGAGAAGCCAAAAGCTTTCTTCACCCTAACTGAAATTATGCATTTTAAATTTGAATATAATTCGAATTTTGATCATATTTAAGTACAAAATTAAAATGTAGTTTTTCAGCCATTTTGACAGCCCTACTTTGCATTATATTACACTGGAGCTACAGAAAGCTAGTTAACTGCTGCATGAGTATTTCTAATATAATGGTTGAGGCAGTGATGGCAAATTGGTAAATTTTCTCCTTTAATCAATTTCTTGATATGTCTTCCTCTTTTGGAAAGTCTATGGTGGAATAGAAATGCTATCGTGTATTTTTTCGTTTGCTACTGAAGCCAATGGGAATGCTAATTATATATATTTTTTTTGCTGAAGTTACAATTCACTAACATTGAAGTTTAAACTACGATGACTTCCACTTTAATGCATCTGAAAAAGGTCCATGCATTAATTACTAATCTATTTCAAATAAATGCTTAGATTTGGGGTGAAAAAAATAGCTTTTAAGAGTAGAGTATCATTTTAAAACAGTTTCAGAATATGATTTGACAATGAATCTCATGCTCAGCGCTTCTCTGAACTCAACATATGGCCTTTAAACCGTCAAAATATTGCCCAACACTTGAGTGTCTGGTCCTCTCTCGCTCAACCCCTCGTCTGGTAACACTTCCCTCAGTGGGCGCCCTCTTCTTTTCCCCCGTCTGGCCCCTTCCCCCTCTCCTGTCTTTATCCATCTTTCTCCCGCTCTCCCGTTTTGTTTAACAACAGCCACGGCGAGTGCAGGAATGTCTGCGGCTTGACGTGACACACATATCAAGATGAACTCGCCAATCTGCCATTGTTTCCGCTGCTCCAGAACCACAGAGTTCTTTGTCATCAGATCTTCTCCGTCCCTCCCCCAAACACCGTCATGTGTACAGAGCCTGTTTTCATTCAAGTGCTCGATTATTGCTCATTTCCTACTGCACACATGCGGGTATGGCTCTAAACAACGCTCACTTGTACCTCAGAGCATCTGTATTGTATTAACGCTGGCACTGACTGCTAAAGGAGGATTCCTCAATGTGCAAACCTGGCATCTGCACTAACAATGAGTCTATCCTGAGGTGGACGGCTGGTATCGGTGCATCCCTAGTAATATGCATTGCTAAAAACTTCATTTGGACAACTTTAAAGGTGATTTTCGCAATATTTTGTTTTTTTTGCACCCTCAGATTCCAGATTTTCAAATAGTTGTATCTCGTCCAAATATTGTCTGATCCTAACAAAACCATACATCAATGGAAAGCTTATTTATTCAGCTTTCAGATGATGTATACATCTCAATTTCGAAAAATTGACCCTTATAACTGGTTTTGTGGTCCAGGGTCACAAATAATATACAAGCTTCATGATGAGTTTAAATCGAATGCCAAAAAGGCTGTCTGTTTAGGTAGCAAAAATTGAGATTGTATTTAGAACACAAACTAATCGAGAAGTGCAGTGCTCACAGCTTTAAGGCACAGTCATATTTACCATTATTTGGAGAGTTTGCACAGCCGAAATTCATGTCATTTCAATAGGAATCCACACGATCAGGAATTTCATATGAGGGTGAAAGACTTCCCAACACAGATTTTGCAACGGGTCCAAGTTATTCACGTGGATTCAAACTTTTTTTCTGCAAAATTTTGCTGAATCATTTGTGACTGCAACTTTATATATAGATTTCCTCCCATTGCTCCACATGCTTCTATACATGTTTTCCATTGTAACCAATCACAGACATTTCTGTTGAATAATACGAAAGCAGTGACAAACATTCAAAAAAACTTTGGATCCGAAGAGAAAAGATTCAGGACTACTTTTAAATCATTTTTGGATTTGTTACATGTCACATGTACACAATAAAAACACTGCAAGACGTGTGGAAAAATTCTATTGAATTTTGAATGGTCACTTAAATTCAATTTCAATTTTTGAATTCAATTCAATTTTTGAATGGTCACTTGAATTCAATTCAATTTTGGGCCCTAGTGAAACTTCCAAATCACCCAAATTCTTGAATTTTACACAATTTTGCCAAGCAACTGTAAATGTGACCCTACTTTGAGCCTGGAGTCTGTGTTTATAATATTATTACACTGTCAATTTCTAAATACAATTTCTTGACTTGTTTAATACCAGTTTTGTTAATAATGCTAGCAGGACAAATGTGAAGCTGTTTATTCGCCATCTTGATTTAATAACGCATAAAACTGCAATACACCCATTTAAATGTTTTTAGCTTATTTTGATGTGTAGGCTACATAAATAATACAGCATTCAGTTGTATTATCATGCAAATTGCAATCATGATTACAATATCAAGGGAAGTAATTGACAACTGTGATTATTGTCAGATTCTAGCAGGCAGCCGCTAGGTCTTGACACACAGCCAGAGTGTGGTATCCAGCCTCTCTGCGAATGATTTCTGCTGCTCCAGTGGGAATAAGCGGGTGCAGAACATGCCCACAGAGAGCCATCTCACCAACACACGGCACGCTCGCAATAAACCAGGTCAGTTATAACTTATGTGCAGACAGGGACACAGACAAATGGAGAATCTACACAGAAGCTGCTAGAGCAAATCAAACTCAATTTGCTCCACGGAGCACTGTCATGTGGAAACAGCTCTGAGAATAGCAACAAACACTCGAAAATGTCACTGGTGCCGTTTTCACGCTTGGTTTGATGGCTTGGACAGATGTTTACCACTGTAACTAGGTAACGGCTCGGGAGGAGACGGCACCAGCTTCACGGTTTTATTCATGTTTTTGTCCCTTTTGTTTTACAACACGGAACTTGTGTTCGCCAATAATTTGCAAGAGATGCAACGACCGAGATGCTCGCAGAAGGCCATAGAAATGAAGTCATGTTTATAATCTACCAGATTTACAGAATAAGTGCTTTCGAGTTAAAACTAGGGCTGTGCGATTAATCGAAATCGTCATAAAATCACGATTTGAGCGTGCGTGATTTCTAAATCGCTTTATAGCACGATTTTCCGCGCCCCTGACCTCCCCGCAGTATGCTATCCGAACCAATCAGAATGCAGCGGCCTAAATGGAGCACGAGAACAGAACAGAACAGACCGGGCGGGCATGCTTGGCGCAACAAATCTA